CCAATTTCTTTATCTCAATAAATTGACCTTCCATTTTATACGTAATGAATGTATGTAAAGGTCCAACATATTTTCACCAGGAGGTGAGAGATTAATGTTACCCATGTGTATCTTTAGCATTCCAGGTTGTGATGGAATCTTTTGCGTCAGAATATTTCTATTAGTTCACCAATTTAAACTGCATGTCTTATATACGAAATATGAGCGAATCTGATGAATATGCTCTGCTGAGTAAATTCGTTTTAACTGTTCTTTCTGCATGTATTTACTTCAATAAAAATATCTATTTACTTCATTATTCTCACTCCTTCTGGTATGCGTGGGAAATGTGTTTCTTACATTTTCAATGAACTGTACATTCCTCTTTTGTCTCAACTTCTTTCACTGGCGGTCAGTGTCTCTTGACTCGGTTTGTTTTTCAATGAAATTCACGAACTTTCAATAAGCTCTTGGTTCGTTATTGAAAGTACATCTGCTCTTTTCTCTTGTTCTTTTGGCTCAATGAACAGAAGTTTATATGGGCTTCTGGACTTCACCCTTGCCATCACCTTAATGTTGTCCTCTCTGCATTTCGCTAATGGTACCTTTCTTCTTCTTACGTATATTTTACATCTTTACTTTCTGACTTAGTAATAGAAAGTGTTGTACTTCCTCTTGCGTCATTTAATATAAAGACTTCTCGGCTCTGATTTTGACAAGCCAATTTTACATCGTTAAAGTTTAAGTAGTTTTTATCTATCAGTAAATGACTCAGACAATCATATGGACACAGACCCAAGGGTCATAGATGTTGAGCATTTGAATGAAAGAAATTCGCGACAAAATTATTTATCCGAATGCTGAAGAACAAAAAAAAGAACAAATAGCCAGATAGACCAAAGAAAAAATCTGAGTTGAAAAACAAACTACTGCATTATGCTGCTGAAGACAAAGAACCACGTTTGCTGGCAAAAATAGCTAGAAGACAGAAGCAAAAAGCAAAGAAGAAAAATAACAAGGAAGCTGAAGCAAAAAAGAGTAAATGGTTATTTTATCCAAATAAATGAAGACAAATTACTCTTTACTCTGTGCCTTCAGTAGTGAAACTGACGTCAAAATAAGGGAACAGTTCAGTTAAACGTTTAATTTCCACACACTGGATGTGAAACATAAATGAAGAGAAGTATATCGGCCATAACATTCTAGTAATCAAACACTGCTTCAAAAGTTGACTTATACTTCAATCGAATAGAAAATGCACTAACATCTTTAAAGCGCCCAAAACATTCACATGTAACAAATATTTAAAAGACATTTCAACATTTTGCAATTATATTCATAATGAGATGTTCCGAGAAAAAGCTTTTCAAAAACATTAAAAAGTACCAAACTTTACAGCCTTTACGTGATTTCTTGCCTACAACTGAAGGGAAAAAGTAGTCAACCACACTTATACAGAACTTCAAGAATTTAATGAAAATGAAGATGGAACACATGACTTCAATCATTTATTCTCACATTCCAAGAAAAATCGCTAAAAAGAAGAAAATCCATTTACGTATAAGATTCAAATCTCCGAACCAAGTATGATTTAAGAATTTTTCAATTATATGCAATGCCTCCGAGAAAAATAATTTTCAAAGCATCCGTAACACCTGCATGGATAGAAAAAGCAATACTTTACTCTAATAAAGCCAAAGGCGTGAAAATGAGTTCATTGTCATACAAGAATTCACCACTTTCCTAACCCTATTAATACATAAATTAACTGGCTTCAATCCGTGATTTTGGATTAGACATTTCTCCACTCCATGACCATAAATGTCCAGTGTCTGCTCCAATAAGACTGTCTCTACATTGAAGCACCAAACTCTTAAACTCTACCCATTCCACGCACACAGCTATTGTAAAATCTACGCTACTTTTATTTTTATCACAATACCTCATGCTGAACAAAAAATAAATGACCTCATCATGACCTCATTGTTGACAAAAAAAATTGACCTCAGAAACTTCAAACTACGAATAAGCTGTTTTTAGTCGTATTGAAAAAGTTGAACTTTCCAGCAAAAGCAAGGTTACATACTGACATAAGTCGAATCAATCTCGACAGTCATAAAGTGCTTGTAAAGTTCTTAAACTAATCCAGAGTCTTTTCATATTGATCCAACAGGTATGTGAATGTTCTTTCTTCATGTTGATAGCATTGTTATTACTTCAGGAAAACATTTCAATTACGGTTAAAAGCAATAAACATCTTGCTTCACGCCTTCATTCTTGCCAGGAATCAACTTCATTAAATCGTTAGTGAGTAAATCTATGTAGGTCTTCTTTCCACAAAAAAATACTTTTATAAGCTAAACTTTTTTCCGGTTAATTTCGCAAAGTCCTATGAAATTGACCAAGTTCTTTCCTATAAGTTGCACCCATATCTCTTCTTAAACTCTCTGCAAGCTTGGGATGTTCATTATATAGGCATTAACTGTTCGTATCCTGGTAAAAATTTGAAGTCCCATTCTCTGCATACAAATAATATCTTTCATCCATAATACTTTTACATAACAGAATATAACACCCAATTGACAGAATAAAGGTGTCGCAAATGCTTTTCGTTAGCTAAAATAGTTTTATCTTAACCATCCAACCTTCGAACTTCACTAAGTTTAATTTCTATACATATCTATACATCTTATGTATTATACTATGGTATTTGACTCAATAGGAGATAAATATTTTCCATAAATGCTTCAGAATATTTTATAATTCTTTTAAAGGGTTCCTTCTTTCTTTATCACTTTAACCTAACTCAAACAAACTTCTTACTTCATCTCTTATTTGCTCATATCTCTGTCCATCGTATTAGTATCCTTGCAAACCACTTCACATTTTGAACACAATTGATATTTTATGAGGCTTGTAATTTATATGGCCAAACATTAACATGAACAGCAAATGTTTTAACTTCTTGAACGTTTAATTCCGATTTAGTTCAGTGTTCAACCCTATTAAATAACACCGTGGCTGTGTATTACCCAATCTCTATGTTATCTTAATGAGAACAAAAAGCCAACATAACTTTTTCACCAAATGTGTCCTTTGGTTCATCATTCGGAGATAATATTCTTTCATGAGATACTCTGTGTTAGCATCTCATCCTCATTACTTTGAATTCCTCTAAGGTAAAAGTCTTGCTATAGCTGAAGGATATAATGAAACAGCTGATCGAATTCCAAAGCAATGAGTTTTCTTTTTGCTCTTTTTTTTCATGTAATCTACAACAATACATCTTCCACCTTAATGGCATCTCGAAAATAAATCTCTTGTTTAATTTGAGAGTCATATAATCATCGAAAGGATATACTCTGTTCTCAAACAAATTGTTAGCAATAGATACCAAATATAACGCTATCATAAACGTTTAAATCCAAATACTTCAAATAAGTCAATTGGAAACTTTACAAAAACCTTCTTTAAAATATTACATCTTTTTTTTGCCAGTTTAAAACGTGCCCTATACTTTTTCAAGTCTAATCGGTTTTCATCTATTCTGCAACCTTATGGAATCTATGTCTTCATAATGTATCTGCACATGGAAAACTACATGCTTCAGAAATGACACCATTCCTGTTTCATTTCTAACCAAAAACACTCTTATATTATATGAAATCTTAATCATACTTCTTTCGTCCTGTGTAAGTTAAACATACAGGAAATAGTTTAGCTTTTATTAAACACTGAAGATCTTTATAATAATTGCCCGTCCTATATAACCATTATATTGCATTGTCTTGAAACCTTTAATGATGGAGATCCTTCACTTCTGTCATGTGCTTTAAGATGAAATTATTCAATAACTGAGGGTGAACCATATATAAACTCTTGTCAGGGAATTCTTTCCAAAATTCTTTGCAACATTTTGACCCAAATCTTGTCATCACTAACCATCTTCACTGTCAAACAATGTATAAACTTTATGAAACCGTCTGTGCTACACTCAAAGTCAGCCAAAGAAAACGTGCTCAGAATGAATTTACATTTAGCTTATTTTACTTCGTTTGACTCTGCTTTCTTCTTCATTGTTACACAATACTTGGAGCATATTTCAAATCATTCAAATGGCAGTCGCACTATATTTTCATACAATTATTATAAATCAGTAGAACTATGGTCTGAATATATCTCTCTATAACAACATTAGTTTTCACAGACAATTCATTTGCCATAACTCCCACAATTTTATTATCAAACATCCCATAGCTTGTTTTTCATCATAACGAACTACATATTTATCTTTCTCTCTTTGTATAAATCCTTCATCTGTTTCAATGTTCATCTCCACCACAACTCCTTAAAAATCTATATATTTGATATGAAATGTATGTTGTCATTAGGTACATCTTCATTTAGCTGTCAGTAGTCTTCAACAAGAAGTAAGGTCACAATAATTCTAACAGTTTCAGCAACCTTCTTTTGTTATCTATATCTCTTATTTCATTAATGTCTTAGTCATTGATAATAAACCAATGGGTAACATTAAATGCTAACTGTTGAAATCGGAAATTCTTTACTCTTACATTTGAGGAAATCATCTAACACGAATGACTTCTCTCATGTGGTCAATAGTTTCTTCATTTACCACTCCATCCTGAATGCCAACCATAAAACGAAATCAATCGTCCTCTTCATAAGTGTTGCAGTTCTTTTGTTCATTCATTGAAGATTTGTAGCGTTCCAACGATTATATTAAGTGCTAAAGATACTAACTGACCGCTTCTCTTCTTATAAAACTTCTTTTCACCATTATCTTTCCAAAAGCTTTCTATAAGTGCTGGGTTTCCTGTTTGCTTAAGAGCTTCCAAAATGGCTTTCTGGTCATTTGTCAGTGTGCTTTCATCTCTATATGGTCTCTTTTTTGGTTTGCCTTTCTTTACATCTGACATCGTTAAGCCTTCATATTCTGTTAAATCATACATCTTTATTTCGGTAAGATTCTTTATGTTTGTCAAGAAGAAGTCATAGTGCATTTCAACAATACCTGCAGCATTTGCTTCTATCTCTGATATAAAGTTCTCCTTCAAGAGCTGATGTAGTAATGTTCCAATATTATTGAGGTTTAACGTAGAACATTCATACTTTCCACCAAGTTTATAACATACCATCCATCTCTGTTGCGAGTTTATTTTAATTTTCTCTAAGAGTCTCATGAAAACCTTACCGAAATGTTTGTGTAAGTAGTCTCTGTTTGGTTCATCTAAAGCTTCGATGTTAAAGTCAATGAGTCTATTGCCTGACTTCACATTTCTCTTCCTATTCTCTTCATCTTTCTTTAACCATCTCTCACCTTCTTTTGGTTTGTCGTCAATGGAACGAATGACATCGTTAGCTTTGCGAACTTGTTCTATAGCACTTTTAAACATCTCTCTTCTCTGTTGTTTCAGTGTGTCATCTCTCTTTCGTGTTTCACCAACGTTTGCATGGGCTACGCCCGCGCCGTCATGCGGCTTTGTTATGTCAAACATCTCTCTTCTTACTTCATGAGGTACAGCTCTTCTTGTTTCACCAACGTTTGCATTTGTTATGTCAAACATCTCTCTTCTTACTTCATGAGGTACTGAACGTCTATGATATAAGTCAATAGCAATGTCATTTAAAGGAAATGCTCTTGCATGGACTTCGTCCTCGCCGCGTTGCGGCTTTATGAACTCATGAATTCTATCATAACTTATTGCACCATTATAGTCTTTAATGAAGTCAGCGAGTGCTTTTTTGTTTGTTGCGTAATGCTTTGCAACATCTATATTAGCTTCTGTAAGAAGTTGTTTTATTTCCGAGTGTTCTAACTTAGACAACTTCCGATACATCTTTAGTAGGAAATAAAAAAATATTTTTTGAAAAAATTAGATTAGATTTTTTTTAAGTTATTTTTCAAAATAATTTAATATTTTTATTTTAATGAAACACATGCAAGATTGCAAGTTCTTTTCATACAATGCTCTCGCTACTGCCATCAAGAATGAGTTCAATAATGCTTCAAACGTTAATGTTATCTTTAACAAGAAGTTTGTGAAAGAATCTAAGTTTGGTCAGTATGTCAGACCATTAGCTATCGTCATTGACCGCAAACGTTATACTTCACAAGAGTTAGCAGTAGTTTTGAAACAAAAGGGTTTCTTCGTGAATGTCAAAGATACACACTATACTGTCATAAAGAACTCCAACATTGACTTCTTCAGTATTGCTATGAATCTTTCCGAACAGAAAGAATATAAGAAGGGTGAAACATCTGTGAAATATTATCCTTCATCTCTGAAGACAATAACGAACAAAGATGTTATACAAAAGTTCTTACCAAAGGTTGAAGAAGCTTCAATTGACATTGACGAAGGAAGTGAAATGGTTGAAGAAATTGACCCTGAAGCTATTTAACCAAAAATATATTTTTGGTGAAGAGGTGAGATATCACCTAGCCGCTTTGCGGCTCTGACCCTTTGGGTCTTTTTTTCACCTCATTCTCTCTTCGTTAATGTTGTCGTGACTTCTTCGTTAATGTTGTCGTGACTTCATTCTTCCTCTTTGAAGTTATCGAAATATTCTGTTATTTTTTCTTCAGTAATGTTAAGTCTTCTTTGAAGGTAAGTATTGTGCAACCTTTGATGTCATAGTGTGTTTGAGGAAGAGTATTTTTGACAATTTCTTTTATTTGCTCATTCGGTGTCATTGAAATCGGTAAGTTTTCACGATAGAACCAGTTTCTGTCAGATTTATATATTTTAGCAAGGTCGTAAAAGCTTTTGTTGTTTCTTCTGACTAAATGCAACATAACCATATCTCTATCTTCTTCTTTCTCCAACTCTTCAGTATAAATCATATACTTATAACTCTTTTCCTTTCCTTTTGGTACTGAACGTGGTATTCTTTTCTGTATGCTTTTGTCTTTGGATTCAATGACTTCATCTTTTGCTTGAAGTTTCTTTTCCATCTCTCCACGTTCTGCTTTATATAGTTCATCTAACATCATGAAAATATAACAAGCATAACGAGGTGAAGCCCACATTGCTACAGCATTTACTAAAAGTCTATGAACATAATAACCTTTCAAACCAGGTGCCAAATTCTTGCGATTTTCGTACGGAATCTCTTCCCTCGGTTTTCCGAGGGAAGCAATCATATGAGGAAATTCTTCTAAAAGTTCTTTTGCCTGTTGGTTTTCAAACCAATGATATGCTTGCTTTGTAGAACGAAGAGCGTTCATTATACTTTGCATTTGATACATATCATCTTTGACTGAACGAATGAGTCTCAATTGTTTGTTATATTGTATGTATTCGTATTCTTCATTTATGGCTTCATGAACGATAGCAGTTGTTGTGTTCTCTAATGTTGACATTACTGTTCTTACATACAGGATAAAAAAATAAATAAAATAAAAACTAACTTTATTTTTTCTGAGATAAACACTATTTCTTCACAACATTAAATTTTATCCTGTATGAAATGACTTTAAAAAGATTATTGACTGACTTCGAATACTATCTCATTGACGCACTGACAGACCCTCAAAACTGTGTTGAAAGTTCTTTAAGCTTTAAGATTGAAGGTACGACGCATTTTGTCTTCACTTACGTATTGAAAGAATATGACCGTTATCATAACGAAGTGAATCAAACACTAATAAAATTTGTAGATAAAAAATTGGTTAACAATGAATATTTTAAACGTGAAGACCCAAACACTGCTGGAGATGATGAAGAATACAGACAAGTTATTGAAAAAAATAACGCAAGATTAGATGCAATAGAAAAGAAGTTTAATGAATGTCTTACAAACACGTATGAATATCTTATGCAGTGGGAAGCCAGATGGAAATAAATTTACGTCAAATATGCAATTTATAAAATCTTATGTCGACAGGCTACGTAGCACAGTGGTCTAAGGTGGTGTTATGGAGGGGTCAAGGTCTGTGGTTCGAACCGCGACAGCGCCGTATTTTCTTATTTTCTTTATTTGTCTTGTTTGTCGTGAATAAAAAGTGTCATAAAAGTGCTCTATCTTCCACGGGAATAAATAAAAAATTTACTTTATTTCTTCTTTATTTCTTTGTTCCCGTGGAAGAAGGGTTTTGCTGTTTTTTCTCAGCCGAAATCAATGATTTTTTCATTTTTGGAATCCTTAGCGAATGAGGAATCTTTTCTCTCGTGGAAGCTTTGACCTAAAATATAATTTAGGTGAAGAGGTGAGATGTCACCTCTTTTTTCACCCTCGTGACTTTGTCATAACTTCTTCGTAAATGCTTTGTCATAACTTCTTCGTAAATGCTTTGTCATAACTTCTTCGTAAATGAGTGTAAATGACCAAAAATATATTATAGGTGAAGAGGTGACATCTCACCTGTTTTCTCACCTAATTTCTCACCCTCATGAATTTGTCATAACTTCTTCGTAAATGCTTTGTCATAACTTCTTCGTAAATGCTTTGTCATAACTTCTTCGTAAATGAGTGTAAATGACCAAAAATATATTATAGGTGAAGAGGTGAGATGTCACCTCTTTTTTCACCTAATTTCTCACCCTCATGAATTTTCATGAATTTCCTTAAGATAGAAAAATAACGTTAGTTTTATTTTTATTTATTTTTTTATTTTGTATGTAAAGATATGATTTCAACAATCGGCACAACAACAATTCAAGCCGCGAACGGCGGGACTCTGTCCACAACAACTTCACCAAACTCGTTAGTCATGAATCCAACATCTATGTTAGTAGAGATGAAAAGCTTCATTCCTTCTTCATATACTTTCGAAACAAAAATCCAGAAGATAAAGCAAGAACTTTTAACAAGTAATTTAGACTGTAGTGCGAAAGATGAAACAAATGAACAGTATCTTTATGAAATGCAGGACATTATTGACCATTTACCTAAACTACCTGAAATTCAGCATCAAAAACTAACTATTCCTGAATTCGATGAAATAGAAGTGAAACCAACTGACTCAGTAGAAATAAAGAAGTTCATTCGAAAGGTAAACTATGAGTTTCTAGGATTTCATTGCAACCATAAGGTTATGGACAAAGATTGCGACATGGTATATAAGAATGTTTCTGACATATATAAATCCGGGGAGTTTAAGACCTACGATAACTTTGTTTCGTTAGTTGCTGAATGTGTATGGCAGATAAGAGATAAAGATAGAAGAGGTAAAATATGGAACGAACAGATAAGACCAACTGCTTTTGAGTTAAAGAAAACCATTGACGCCTTAGTTGTTTTAGCAGGTAAGGTTTCAGAATATAACGCAAAAATGAATCCGCAATGTTCTAAATGTAAAGCAGCAATTAGGAAATATAACTACTCCGTCAAAGAGATAGAAAGAATGCGAAACGACTATGCAGACTTAAAGAAAGAAGCAGAAAAGCCAGCAGAAAATAAAATGGACATGTTAGCATTTCTGAACAAAAACTATCCAACTGCTGACGATTTCCTTCTATCTGACGTCAAGAAGAAATATAAAGAAACTTTCGGCATTGTTAAAACTTTTGACATACTGACAGAAGAAATAGAAGCTACGAAATTGTTTAGGATTTCAAATATACATCGTACAATTCATGTAAAACGCTTGTGAAAAACTGGGGTGAGAAAACAGGTGAAAAACGGGTGACATCTCACCTCTTCACCTATAATATATTTTTGCTTTAATTAAATGCTTTCCGGAAACGTCGATGAAAATCATATGGACAAATTATATGAAAAAATTAATAATGATTACCCCTCATTAACCAGGGAAATGACGGATTCTATAGTTCGTAAATTCGATGAAATACAGGATATGTGGTTCGACAGATTCGACATGAACGATAAGGAAAAGAGAAAGAACGATAACAATTTACTTACTAAAAGAATCCTAAAATCTAAAATAGGTGAAGCTTCAACATTTAACACAGTACATAACTTTTACACCGCTGTTTATATTTTCAATAATTTATTTAACGATGAACGAGAAAGAAAAAGTATGTTTAACGGAAGAAATGAATATGATTTTATCCTTTGTGCTGTTCGGGATGTTGACATGAAACTAAAGAAAATATTCTTATTACAAGATGACACGGTTGAAGATGAAGTCAATGAGTTTTTAAATCGTGATTTAAATGAAATTGATGAAGTTATGACCGAATGTTATAAAAAGTTCAAGAGGTGAAAAAAGAGGTGAGAAAACAGGTGAAATCTCACCTCTTCACCTAAATTATATTTTTGTCTGATTTACATCCAACGAAAAAGTTTAGAAGAATTTTCTTATTCTTTCTGGCATGTTTTTATCTTTCCAGTACTCCCGCTCTAATGGTCCCAGATGAGTTGGTTTAGATTCTCTCAAGTTCTTAGATGGTATAACATCTTCAACGCCTCCTTCATATCTTACTTTATAAGTGTCATCGTTTGTGTTATAGTCAAGTATTTCAATAACCACTCCTCGCTTTGCTTCGTCAATGGTTTCAGCAAGTTTGCCATTACTACTTTCGACTAATTTATGTCGAGGGTAAAATGCTATGGAGTCGTCAGCAGCTTTTATAAGATATCCATTACCTTGCGTAGAGTCTACGATATAATAATTTCGACTTAACCTTAAACGTTTCTTTGTCAATGGTTTGTCGTCAAGAACTACACGAACTTTTGTACCAGGAATGAGAGTAAATTGTGTTGAATTTCTGATATTTTGTGTTTGGCTTCGTTTCTTTTGTATATACTTTTCTTCTTGTTGTTGTGTCATTGAATTTGGTGTATGTCCTGTTGTAGAATGTGTTGAGGAATTATATACTTCGAGAAAATGTTTCATTGTTTCTTCGGTAAAGTCTCGCTCTTGATTTAAATC